GAGATACGATAATGCTCGATCATCTCTCTCTCGCGCGCGCGCACAGCCTCCAGCCGCGAGCGCGTCCAGCTTTACACGCTACTCGATTCGCGCGCGGACACCTGCGACGATCTTGATATGTGCGCAGTTGGGAAATCATGAAACTATGTATCGAGTTCAATATTTTATACAACGAGTATAGCAATACATTTCATATAATTCAATCAAATAATTATATTTGGAATATATTTTTACGAATATGATAAAATGTCGGTTTTTTTTTTCAATAATTGCCTACAATTTAAGCTAGATTTGTGGAATTAATAAAAGTAGCAAAACTCACAGAAGTGATTCAGTTTATACATTGTATATTATTAATTGTTTTTTATTTTGTACATTTTATATTATATAATTATATTAATATTTCATGTTTTTTGGAAATATGGGCAAGTCTTAAACCGTAAATTTAATAACAGCGATAAAAAAAAACTGGCCTCGGCCAAAAAGACCTCGGCACTTTCACATTGGAAAAATGATACTTAACGCCTTATAATTTCGCATTGCGCAGTTACGCAACGAAGTCCCGGGTCCCACCGTGAGAAAACTGAACCTCCGCCGAGAACGAGCGGACACTCCGTCGGTGCATGCTGCGGTCCGTTTGCTCCTATTCGTGTAACTCGTTCGGTGAGAAGAGAGAAAAAGGAGGTGGAGAAGGAGGATACGGTTTCGATGGCCGGCGAACGAGCGAAAACGCGTCGGTCGTGTTCGTCGTCGAGCGGCGGGAGAGGCAAATGGGTTTCGTCGTGTCCCAGGGCGACGTGGCCCGCGATTAATGACGAAGTGCGAAAGCAGCCCGGTCGGCCGTCGAGATTACACGGAGGCGGAATGACGGAGAAAACGGTACGCGTGAGATTGGGCGAAGGGGATAATGACGTGGCGAATGAGAAGAGCGAGCGCGGTGAGCGAGCGAGCGAATTAGATTCAATAAATAGATTGTCCGGCGAGATAAATGTCCTAATAACGGGCTTAGGCGCGCAAACACGCCCGATCGCGCGTACACACCCGCGAGACGAGACGCGATCATTAGCCTACGGCCGCGATCGCGGCGCAGTGTGTAAATTCGAAACGCCGTCTCGGTTCAATTCACTCTCGCGCGCGCGCCCGCGCACACACGACGCACAAACACCTGTCAGCCCGAGCGCCGGTGTAATGCGTTGTGTAACGACACGCCGACCCACCGTGAGACCGTCACGGACGCGTTTCACGCTCGCCTTCTTTACTATTGTAGCTTCTTTTTAGGGATCGGCAGCTTTCCGATCTGACGACGACACGCTGTGGTCTATTAATCTCTCATCGATGGCGATGGCACTGACACGATCGCGCCGGTACAAGCTATTCAACATCTTCCGCGGCACGTGTATCAATCTACGGCGAGTTACTGGGTTGTCCGGGCCAATTCTTTCGAACAACGCGTCGATTCGTTCCGGACGTGATGAAATTAATAGAGTATCGATCGTACTGAATATAATACTGCGAAGTATATCTCTGTTATTCCGTCGGGAGATTGCGCGATATATTTGATTATAAAGAAATCTTAGATATAAAAACAAATCATTAATATTTTAAAATACATATTATTTATATATTTTAAACTCCTCGATTCTTTCCTTCGATTTTTCTCTCGTTTTGCCGCGTACTGTTTAGACATTATCTTACATTTGATAGATGACTTTCTCTTTCTATGCATGATCATGCGATCACACAGTCATCTATCAAATGTAAGATAGTCGGAAAACAGTAAGATGGTTGGTGCGAAGTCCGTATCAGATTATACATTAGACATTGAGATTGCAAATTAAAGATTAAAATTTAACCGACTAATCCTAATTTTACCATCATTTCGATCGAATTCCCGTTTGATGTGGATCTAAGCGAAAAATGAGAAAAAAGAAGTTCGAACGGAGAAATAGATTCAACTATAATAACAATGCATAAACTATATTCGAGTTATTTTGAACGAACAGTTGAAAACCAATAAATTATCAATTCAATATTTATTAACGAAATACCAAGGATGACTGTTAAAACAAATCGTCATAGCTGCTTATTCTTTCGGCACTTGCAGCAAAGTTAAAAGACCAGTTTTGCGCAGGTATTTCGCGAGCCATCAACTGTCATCAACGAGCGACTCTCACGACTCTTGCGTGGCGAAAATGCTCATTCGCGCGAATCGTTGCGAACGAGCGCCGGAACGCGCGATAACTTTGTCTCCCTTTCTACACAAACACTAGCGGCGGCGACAAACGTGGTGTACCAAGAGTTATTTACAGCGTGTTCGTCTAATTAGATAATGACGTCGATATTTTATATTCGTGCGTTCACCTGACGCCGTTACCCGCGCGCTTGCAAAACACTGCGGCCGCAGCCGCCGCAACTGCTCGACCTTCGCCGCCACGCCGCAAATCGTTACGGCTGTAAACGCGCGCGACTCCCGCGCGGTAAATCGACTCGGACGAGTGCGGCGGCGAGAAACGCGTGTTAATAACACGCGCTCGGGCGCAATCGAGTTGGAGGATCACGGGAAATTGGAGCCGCGAGCGCTCACCGCTGTCTGTCGGGGCGGCTAGCCAGTTCGCTGCACTTTGAACGAATCGCGGTAACCGGAGTATCGAGTTTAATCGATTTCAAAACGAAATCAAAACGCGGAACGAAAAATATGCCATCATTCGTACGCTTGTACTTTATTCATCGCACGTCGTCGAATCCTCGCGGAATTGAATAACTGCCTGTGCAGTCCTGACGAGTTGCGCAATCGAGGAATAACGATCGCTCGGTTGATTTACTGCAAGGAAAAATCTCCTCGGGCCACACGGCGAGCGGGGAATTATCTATCATTCGGGTTAAATGTTACGTCCGGTGAATCTCGCGGCCGCGGCTCCGTGTTTCCCAAGAGAGGAGGCACTGGGCTTTTATGTCGATGATCGCTCGCGGACGCCGTATCATTACTCTTCATACGGGACCCCGGCGACGTCCGACAGCGAAAGCTCCGTTACGGAGTTAACGTCTATCCCGCTTAAATAGCGAGATCGACGAGCCTGTCGTGCCGCGTGCAGACTCGAGCCTAACAATAACATTCGTAACTGTCTATTGTCGTGGTGGTAAATGAATTAGACGCAGCAATTTCGAGACGAATAACGTCACGTAAAAATGGATCAAGTTGCCAGGCAGTTAGTTTGTAACAATTAAATATTAATAATATGAGATGTGCAATTTTTTATTTATTTTTATTTTTAATTAAGTTCTAGCTTTGCGCGAGTCTTAAAAAAATCATATATATTAGTAGTAAACAGACTTTTTCGTCCGACACTAAAGTGTGCTAAATCCGTCCAGTGTATAATCAGATTTTACATAAGATGCTTCATAAAATTTATCAACTAATTATATTTACGTACAAAGATTATACAATGTCAAGGAACGGTAACTATCGCATTTTATACGGGAGATTATGCATATAAATGTCATTATGTGCGCGATATGAGAACGCGCGAGCCAAGTCGGTTCATCATACGTGCCAGAGAGTCTTTCTCTGCAGGATCGAGTCGCGGGAGTGTCGCGTTGTCTTGTCGCGGCTCGCGTGTATCCGCATGACAAATACTCCGAAAAGCGGGCGTGGGCGACGGTAATCCTACCGCGTGCTCGCCCGTTGAGCTAAAGTTGCGCTTTTCAGCGCGATCGTGCTGGTGAGGTCGGCTAAGGTGTACAGTTAGGCGTGACGCAATTGCAACGGCAGTCGACGACGAGTTGGGGCCCAATTATCGGCTAACTTCCGGTTCGCATCGCGTCGAAGATGTCGTCGTCGGATTATCTTCGCGCGCGAAAACTCGGGGAAAATTATTCGACGGCCGATCGCGGAAGCGAGACTATGCACGGTCTCTTTCCGGATAATCCGCGACAATCGCATAAATATGGCGAGAACGGAACAAGAATCGCGTAACGCCCTGTACGATTCTCACGTCACGTGCACTGTGGTCATCCTGATTAACGCTGCATGAGCCTTATCTCTCTTTTCGGAGTAACGGGAATGACACGCCTGAAACGCGATCATTTACGATCGTGCGATCGACTAGATATATTACCGTATAACATTCTATTCGCGCGCATAATATTGAGACTCGGAAAACCCCGGAAATACAGCGCACGATGTTAACTCGAAACGAATAAGTTAGATTTATGACTCATGTATTCACATTTTTTTTCTTCTCCGAAAGGTGTTGGCTTATCTTGTGAAGATGGAAATATATTATTTGATTACCAAGTTTTGAGGAAAAATTTTGAGAACAAATTTTAGCGGTTAAGATAATATAGATATTTCAAATTATTTTTCATATTTGATTTGCTATTTTCAACAAATTTAATTTATATTTTTTAAGATTTTTTATTAATATCAATATAAGTAGTAGTACGAACCGAATTAGTTAGATTTATGACCCATTCAGATTTTTTCTTTTCTGAAGATGTTGATTTATCTCGTAAAATTGAACATAAATACATTATGATATTGTTGAGAAAAATATTTTTACAATTAACAAAATGAAAAATAAAATTGCTTTTTACATTTAGTTTACGGTTTTCTATAGATTTTATTGGTATTTTGTCAATTTAAATCACAAAAATATACTTTTAATCGCTTTTCATAAACATGAAACAATCATTTTCCTCATTTTACGCATAAATAATTCTTTTTTTCTTCGCTAATGGCTATATCTTCTTGTACGAAAACTTGCAGTATACCGCTTTTTTTCCTACCGATACGACTACGATGCATCTACGCGATTCCGTTGACCTTTCTTGACGCCCGATTCACCGGTCGAGCCGGAGCCGGGATGCCAAAATCAATCAATCATCGGCCATCATCGGTCGATGTAACCTCGCGCGTTCGGCTGAACAGGGCCTTAACCCTGAGTTAGTTAACCTCGCGCGGTTACGATCGCACACGGAAAGAGAAAAAAAAGACGACTCACCTGATTGATGTCGCTGCCCAAATCGCGCGCGCTCTTGGCGCTCCTCAGCTGATCGCCGCGGTACTCTCGATACCTCATAGTCACCTCGTCGTCGGTCAAGGCACCGCTGCTGCCGCTCCTCGCGCCTTTCTTGCTCTTCTCCTCCTTCGCTTTCTTCTCCTTCTTGCTGAACAGCTGTTTGACCTTGCTCATGGTGCCGCTCTTCTTCGCCGCCTTCTTCTCGTACTTCTTGTCGGCGGCGCCGGTGGGCGGCTTCGCGGTGACCAGCGGCGGCTTCGACGACGCGTCGCCGTTCGCGTACTTGTCGTACTTGCGCTGCTCGGACGTGGGCGTCGTCAGGTTCATATTGCGATCGGTGTGCCGTCGCTCGTGCTTGATGAATTGCCGGCTGACAAAGCCTTCGTCTTCGGATTCGAGCTGCTCGCGCCTGTCCGCCTCCTGCGAATCGCGTCTATAATCGTTCTCGATTCCGGAATCGGCCAGTCGGTCCTTGCGATCCGGATCGCTCAGCCTGGTCTCGCGATGACGGCGCTCGACGTGCCCGCGCACTTCCTGTCGCGCGTGCCGCGACTTGCCCTCGTGATAGGTTCTGGGCGGTCTGGTTGGACTCTCATTGAAGGTCTCCAATCGACTAACCGAAGACACCTTTCCTCGCGGACTGTCAGAGTCGTCGAAGTAGTCCAATCGGTTGCGCGATCGTCTAAGCGGCTTCTTCGGGTCGTCGTCTAGCTTGCGGTGCTCCTTTCTCGCGTTACGCGTCTCGTCGTAGCGCGTCTCGCAATGGATCGAGTCGCGCGCTGTGGTGTCCGAGTCGTATCGGCTGGAGTTGTATCCGCCGCACCGGTCGGTGCGTATTCGCGGCGGCGAGCTGTCGTAGTCATCGTGGATCGGGTGCTTGTTGCCGCTCGTGTATCTCTGCGTAGTGCGCGTCTCCTTGGTGTAATACTTGGATTCCAGTTGGCTGCTCGTCATCTGCGAGATGTCGGTATCGTAATCGTCGTTCGGGCCCTCGCGCAGGCTGTCCAGGTGACGCTTGGCGAACGGCGATCGCTCCCTGCGTCCGTTTATCGTCGGACTGCTCAACAATGCGGTTGAGCGTCTCATATCTCGCGCGTTTATGTAATCCGGCCGGCTGCTCAGATTTTCATGCGACCGCGTGGTGTATTCGCTTCTGAGCGCGCGCACCCTGGCGTTCTCGCCGACCTCGTCCAGCCGCTGCGTCGACTTGCTCATACCGCGGATCGATTCGAAGGGTTTCTTCGTTTTCGGCAGATAGGCGTCACGGCCGATCGGCCGGTTGTCGCGGTCCAGAAAATCCTCGCTCTTCGAAAACTTGCGCTCATTCAGCTTCTTCGCGATGATCGGCGACGACAGCTCGTCGTTCTCTCGCGACTCTGGCAGGTAATGCGACGATTTATACGGCGGGCTGCCGCCGTTTCGAATATTCTGCAATCTCTCTTCGGGGCTGCTGCGGCTCCGGTCGCTCAGGAACGGCTTGAAATTGTCGGCGTAACCCTCGTGCGTGCGTGTTTCTACGATATACTTGTCGCCGTATTTGTCCGTTTTCGTCTCCACGGTGTAACCGTCCCGCGGCTTCGCGTCGATGTAACCATTCGTCGGAATTTTGTTGATCTTTTTCTCGTAGCCGTAAACCTTGCCGTTGTCCTCGTGTATTTCCTTCTCGAAGATGTACTTTTCGCCGTTGCTGTTGGTGCGCGTCTCCGTGATGTAGGTGTCCATGTAGCGTTTCGGCGACGCGATCCGATTCGGCGTGACCGGCGACGGCACGATCGGCTTGTCGATGATCTCGTGCTCGCTCGATTTTTTTATCGGTATGTGAGTGGTGTTGCCGTTCTTGGCGGCGAACATTTCGTCGGCCAGGAGCCGAGATTTAATTCTGGATTCCAATAGATCCCGCCGCGCGCTCAATTCGGACGTTTTGCGTGAGATTCCGCTATCATTCTGCCGCGATGACAGCTCGCCGCTGTCTCTACGGCGAGCATCCATGCCGTCGGCTCTGCCGCGGCCGGAAGTATCCACGAATACAGTCGATGTGAATTTCTCGGGCTTGTCGTAGAGACGTCTGTCGATCTCGTCGAACTCGTGACGCCTCGTGACTTCAGTCGTCCTGATGAAGTCCTTCGTGCCGCCCAAATTCTTGCCGAAGGGACTGCCATTCTTGCGGTCCTCCTCGTATCTCGATTTGAAGGCGTTGATTTCGTTGTTGCGACGCAAGTCGTTGCTGTACGAATAGTCGGTCCTGCGATACTCCTTCTCCGCCGGGCTGTTTTCGCGCGAGGAGTCTTTCCTCTCGAGACCGAGGCCCTCGTCGCTGTCGGAATGACTGCGCTGCGCTTTCTTCTTATCCGGCTGCACTTGCGCGTAGATGACATTGGTCTGCGCCGGCGACGGCGGAGGCGGGCTGCAGGAATCGTTCGGACGAGTGTAGGAAAACGGTCGGTTGTTGTTGTGACCGAAGCCCGGCGACGGCGAAACCATCGTTCTCGTCAGCTGCGGTGGCGGCGAACGGTCGTTCGATAGTCGGTGAATCATCTTGTGAATGGTGGATTCTTCTTTGCGTTGCTGATGATCGTAGCGGCTGCTGTGCAGCATGCTATTCGCGCCCGCGTTGTCCACTTCGTCTCGCCCTTGCTTGAATTCTTTCGGGGGTGAAGGAGCACGGCTGGCTCCTTTGGCCTTCCGATCCGTTTCGTTCTTTTCTTCGTCGTCCCGGCCCTCGACGAAGATGTGGTGTTCGATCACTTTGGCCTCTCTGCTGGGCGATCTGCCGGCAAGCTCGTCGCGCACTTTGGTCGTCTCCTCGATCGTCGTCTCGCTCGTCTCGATGTTGCGCGATATCACGTCGTCGACATCGATAGTCGGACTCGTCCGCTCTTCTTGCTTCTTCGCTTTCTTCGGCACGGGTCGGTTATTATTCTCGCGATCCGCGCTCGCGGTGCCGAAGTGGAACGGCTGTTGATCGACGTGCGGCGACGTCTCGATTATCGGCGACAGCTGCTTTTTCACTCGCTGACTAACGACGCTCAAGTGCGAGCCCTCGCTTTCGCTACCGCTACGTTTGCCGCTGCGCGTCCAAGCGCCGGCGTCGCTCGCGCTCCGGCCGACCGGCTTCCCGCGTCTCTCCGACTTCGGCGAGAAGAAGCGCGCGAGCGAGCCCTTCAGCTTCTTCGCGCTAGCATCGCTCACACTTCTTTCCAATGGCTTCTTCCTGGCGCGCGGAGTGCCGAGGTCCGCGCTCGCGGTCGTGGCGCCGATCTCCTCGCTGCTGCGTCGCGGTCTCACATCGATCGGCAATTCGGGACGTTTCTTGTTGCGACGCGCCGGTAGGGTGCTGAAGCGACCGGGCAGATTGCGCCGGTTGTCGCGCGCCACGCACTGAAGACTGTCCGCTTGCTGCAGGACCAGAGCCGCCTCCTGTGCGAGATCCTCCTTGCTTCTCGCGGCGATGCTCTCCTTACGGACCGGGGTGGCGGTCAACCTACCTTCTCCATCGCCCACGAGAGCCGCGGTTACGCGCGGTGTGCCACGTCCTGCAATCAAGCGTCGAACGTACCTGCGTTTAGTCACGTTTAATTTCGCGAATTAAATGGTGTTACACAGAAATAACGAATAAGATAAACTTTATGTTGAATTAACAAGAAAAGTTTTGCATTTTTAATCTAATTTCAATTTAATTTATTTCAAAATAATTTTTTTGACGGTATAATATTTTTGTTTAACACCGTTTATTTATGAAGTGAGAAATGGCATAAATCGTTGCGAAAAGAACTATTTAAAAAGTAAAGAAATAAATTTGCGGATTTTAGAGCTATCTTTTTTTTGTAAATTAAAGTGCTTCAATGACACGGTGGATTTCTTAATAGATATATAAAAGCTGTTGATCAAATGTCGATTTTATACAATTTGTACTTTGACGATTCGATAAACCGGTATGCCGTTTCAGAAACTTCGGAAGAATAATTTAACAATAAAGATGGAAATAGCGTAAATAATATGAAGAGACGAAGCCAAAAATTGGCTAGTTGATCAATAAATTGATAGATTGTAGGATCATAAAGAATGCGCTTATCAACGTTTTACATATTTTTACAAGTTGTTGCGTATGGTAATAATCGAACGGAATTTTTGAATTTTAATTGCAAATCGTTCCGAAACACGCGCCATTGGATCTATCAACCGGTTGGCGAATTCGATCGGTTAATGAATTACATCGTGACAGCGCACAGGTTTGTAAATTAGCGATTTATGTTAAGACTAGCGTATAATCGTTAGTGGTTAATCACCAGGTTTAATCGCAAGCGCCGCTAGACGCGGTCGAGAGCTAGAATCCGACGCGTAAGAAATTGCCATCTTTCCGTCCCATCTGCGTAGCGCAACTTCGGCTGAATCGGGACCGCCATTAATTCGCCACCGCGTCGTCCGATTCGCGATCGATATAAAGCTCGTAATTAACGCTGTCATATTTATAAATGGGTCGCTTAATCAATAGCTCGTTAACGGCCGTGTCGGCTCCTCCGAGATTTGTGTGCGCTAATTCCTTTCCCCCTTTTTAAATCATAATCACGGGGCGCGGAAGCGATAATAGGAAGAGAACAAGAACGTGCGTTAAATGCTGAATAAGATTGGATGCTATATCGTATAATTAAAAGGTGTATCGAGCGATAAGAGCTTCCTGACAATCAGAAAAGCGGATAAAATAAATTGAGGTCTGTAAGAAGGAACTTATTGAGCTGCGTAATTGTAAATTTTTGTAATTCATTTTGCTGCTCATTATTACGGCAGAACCATAAAATTTCAGATAGATTTAAATCTTGAATTAATAATTCAAGTTAATTAATTCCGCCGAAATAAAGCTTATTTGTGTGAATTTAACTGGAGCAAAACATCTTCATTGAGTCACATTCTTGAATTCATTGTTTCGAATTCGTTGAGTAACTCTTGCCGACACTAATTAGGTCTCCCGCGAAATTTTCACCGGCAGATAAAATCGACTTACACGCGCACGGCCCGACTTGCTTGATCTGTCATTTTTATTACGCGGACGGTTTGTCTTACATAAGGTGAAAGCCGCGACCGTGGACGTCTTCCCACGCCGGACGAGCTCGGATCTCGTCGCGCCTTACGCGGTAGACGCTAATCGACGATGGGCGGACGAAAATTGATTCATTATTGATCCCGTCACTGTCCTCGTCGTTACATAGAGTGCGTTAATTCTTCAATTGCGAATACACCTAACAAGTTAGTTCGCCACCTACGTTCGTTTATTCGCGCCCGTTCAGTGCATCCACATGAAATAATAGATATTAGCATTCATCGTAGGAAGTTCCTAAAATAGGAGAAAAAAAGTTTTTTATGTAAAATTATAATTAAAAAGAAAGAAAGGCTAAAGAGAACACAAATTGCAAGCATTGTATTACTATAATTAGTTGTAATAACTGCAAATATCATCAAAGTACAAGAAAAATCAGTTTTGATTTATTTTGGGCTCTTTTAAATATTCAAAATAGAGAAAGATTGAGTCAAAAATGAGTCACTTTAGTTTTGTTTATATTTTTGGCGATATTTACAATTATTATAATTTATTATAAAGTTACAATTAAGAGCTTACGTTTTTATCGGTATTTTTCTTGTTATTATAGAAAATTAGAGGCATGTATTTCGCGAATAGATTCAAGATTCATAATATTTTACATCAGATTAATCGCGCTTGGAGAGGCATTTGCATTTTGTAACGATGGCTTGTGGGGTTGAAATTATTGACGGATTTAGGGCATTATTATCATTTTAGTACACGGATTTTAGTTCACGGAATAGGAGAGGAATCTCAACGCGTGACATCTTGTCGAGGTCATCAACAAGTTTTAGGAATGGGGTCGGCGCTTGGCGGCGAATACCATCGCTCGCTTAGCGGAGTCTCTGTGCCACTTCTGACGTTTCGTGAGGAGTACAAAGCCGCTGCACTATTTTCCATAGGTCGTGTTTGTCTCCCTCTCTCTTTCTCCCCCGTGGGAACTCGTCGTCGATTGTCATCGTCGCCGCTGTTGTTTGAAACGCCGCCTTGAAGGCGCTTTTACGATCCGGATTGTTTGGTTTCCATAGACACACCGTTAACATCTCTCGCGAACATTTGTCTTTCTTCGTCGCGTCTAATGGACTTCTTTCAGCATTTTAGTCAAATCACAACGCTTTCAGGGAAACGTTGTTTTTAGAGGAAAAGAGATAGAGAGAGAGAGAGAGAGAGATTAGAATGCGACTTTCTCGCGACTAATCTAGTCGTTCGTGTTCTTTCCGCGCTACCGCGCGCTTCGGACGTTGTAAATCGTAACTAAGCGACGAACCTCGCGCCGTTTACGAGATTCAATGGCGCGAATTTCGCGCGACTGTCACACAGGGGAATGTAATCTCTTGAGATATCGTTGGGTTTAATTGCGCGCAGCATGAGCGAAGTGGCGTCGCGCGGGATTATACGCGAGAGAGGCTAGCGCAGACTTCCGTCGTGTAGAATCGTACGTTCGCGTATAAGTGGACGTCTCCCCTCGCGCGGATCGAGATTAATAAAGCATATACATAGCTTACGCCTATACCGTCGCGGAATGCACGCACCGCGAGTCCGGGAATGCGGACTAAAACCAGTGGGAGCGTAGACGGCGGATTCTTCGATTGCAAACAGAGCCCGATGTTCGATATTTTGCTTTCCTGAAGACTAATTACAGTGACGTGCACGGGAGAAATATCTTGTGAGCACACAGAACGCGGACGTATGTGCGATTCTAGTGCGCGAGAGAAAGGGAGAAGGGAGAGAGAAGAAGGTGCATTAGTATGTGGTGCACGTATTCTGGGCGGGAATTGATGCGCTTAGAGCTGATCGTGAAACGCGTACGATTGATTCGACGAATGACGATGCTACGATGCAGATAACTGTTCGGTCAGTGGCTTTCAAACTTTTTTCTTCCCTTACGTTGTATCGATTCAATCTTCTTCAGTCCGACGTGATTTCAACGAATCGTGTTTGTTTTCTCTTCCGGAATAACATCCACAGTTGCACGTGCGCGCGTGAGTTATCGATTCTATTTCTATAAACGTGTGTAGAAATATTAGTATCATTTAAATGATTGAAGAAAATAATTAAAAATTGAATTTTAAAATTTGCAAAAATTCTGAAATATGCTTTTGCAAAGTTGAAAGGATTCAGAATCAATGTTCAGAATCAATCAAATATATTTTCCTACAGAAACTGTAAGACAATTCGCACATGCGAAAATTGTAATGGTAATCGTTCCTCGAATTTTAACACGCAATCATGAAAACCACTGCTGCGGAAAATCTAAGTACCGATATGGTCATCTCCGAGATATTCAAATTGTTTCAAATTATCGACTCGTAAGCTCACCGTAATATCAGCTTATTATTTACCGGTTCAATGGATTGTTTGTACTTCCTCGTATGGTTATCCTGCAGGATACGTGCGTGTCCGGGGGAGTAGATCTGGGTAGAACGTCCGCGTGCGCGAAGTACATTCAGACGGTTTAATGTCACCTAAGCAGCACTACGAGCGATTCTTGACGAGATGTAATTATTGTGCTCGGCTGACTGATTGATATTCAGGCGCGTCGTAAAGACAGCGGTGATTTAATTATCGCGACATTACCGCCGTGATCTTGCACTAGAAGCACGTTACGCGTACGTTCGATGAATTCATGGATGGAGAGCGTGCACGATCAGTGAACGCGTTACGCGCGAGACGTATCATTATGTCGCCATTGCGTTGTTATAGCTCGCATTTCTGCTACGAGCGCGAACGTTATAACAATCAGATTATCCAATTATCAGATCTGAGAATTCCAGTTTTTGTGATTCTGAAATTTTCGAAGTATGATTAAAGCGGTAGATTTATAAATTATCAAACCCTCATGTCTGATGTCTAAACTTTGAAATCTTTAGATATTTAAATAGTCAAAATCTGAAATTTCAAGATCCATAGAGTATGATTAGAGCGATAGAATTATAAATTATCAGACGTTGGAATCTTTGAATTCTTAGATGTTTAAATTGTCAAAGTTCCGGAGTCCAAGATCTACAGATACACGGAGTCGTGATTCAAACGATAGATTCATAAATTATGAAATTCTCATGTCCGATGTTCAAGTTTTCCTTACATATACGTATTTAAATAAATGTTTCACATTCCAAGATTTATGGTGACTAGATTCAGATACATAGAATCGTGAAGCTTCAAATTCTTAGTATCTTTTTTTCGATTTTACATTCTTAGATTTTCATAAAAGTCTCAAATTCTTCGATATTAGTAATCAGCACCTTAATTCAATATCATTTCTCTCTTAGAAAAGAGAAACCGTATTCGAGAAAGTCGTCTGGCACTTTTCCTATCTGAATCAATGCGTGATTCGAAATAATAAATTATCCATGCCGTCAATTGGCGAACTTTTTCCGTCGAAAGAAATTCATTGTGCACGATGGGGCGGCGAAGTGGGCCACCGGTTAGTTCTCTAGTCTCCAAGTGCTTGACATT